AGGGGGAAGGGAGAAGGGCGGAGGGAGGACGGAGGAGAGAGGTGGGAAGAGGGAAGGGGGAGGGGGAAGGGGGGAAGAAGGAAAGGGAAAGAAGAGAAGCAGGGTGAAAGATAGAGAGAAAGAGAGAAAGAGAGAAAGAGAGAGAGAGAGAGAGAGAGAGAGAGAGAGAGAGAGAGAGAGAGAGAGAGAGAGAGAGAGAGAGAGAGAGAGAGAGAGAGAGAGAGAGAGAGAGAGAGAGAGAGAGAGAATGAGATGAGAAAAGAGGGAGAGGTTAGCGAAAGATGGCAAAAGCACAAAACTTACACAACATGTGTGTGAGACTGCATGCTCGTCAGTGTACGTGTACATGTACGTTTCCTCGCCCGTGTGCGCATGAGGATGATCCAAATCCCGTACTCGCTGCCTCCCGCACATGACGGGCGTAATCCCAGAGCGGAGGTCCCCCTTAAGGGCGCCTCCGTCAGCCGCAGCCAGCATAAATCGGGCGTAACGGAAAGGCCCTAAAATAAACCCACGTGACATAAACAGCCCCAACCGAGACACGCCAACCGCTCGGGGCACTCGGCGAAATATGTAAGTTACTGGGCGAGGACTTGGCAAAAACAGCGCCTCCACACCACGCGGCGCCCGGGAACGAGGGGGAGGGGGAGGGATACAGGGGGGGGGGAGAAAATGGAGGAGGGAAGAGAGAGAGAGAGAGAGAGAGAGAGAGAGAGGAAGGGGAGAGAAAATGAAGGAGGGAAGGGAAGGGGGGAGAGAAAATGGAGGAGGGAAGGGAGAGAGAGAGGGGGGAGTGGTGAAGAGGAGAGAAAATGGAGGAGGGAAGGGAAGGGGGAAAGAAAATGAAGGAGGGAAGGGAGAGAGAGGGGAGACAGGGGAGGAGAGGAAGGGAAGGGGGAATGAGAGAGCGAGGAAAGGGAAAGGGAGGGGGGAGAGAGGGGAGAGAAAAAGAGGAAGGGAGGGAAAGAGCGAGGAAAGGGAGAGGAAGGGGGAGAGAGGGGAGAGAATATGGAGGAGGGAAGGGAAGGGAGAGGGAAAGAGCGAGGAAAGAGAGAGGGGAGAGAGAGAGAGAGGGGGGGGAGAGAAGGGAGAAGGGAGAGAGGACGGAGAAGAGAGGGGAAGGAGAGGGAGATGGGAGAAGGAGATGGGAGAGGGGCGGGGGAAGAGAGGGGGGAAAGAGAATACAGGAGGGAAGAGAAGAGGACTGGAAGGAGGAAACAGAGGAGGAAAGGGAGATGGCGATGAGGAGAAGGGGTAAATGGCAGGGAATAGAAGGAGTAGACGGACAGAAGGGGGGGAAGAGAAAGGGGGAGATGAAGGGTGGAAAAGGAAAAAAAAACAAAAAAACAAAAACAAAGGGGAAAGAGGAGGATGGTGGAACAAGAAAAGAGGAAAGGAGGAGGAGGAGGAAGAGGAGAGACCAGAGAAAGCAGCCGAGGCTCAGACTGAGGATAAGGAGGAGGAGGAGAAAGAGGAGGAGGAGAAAGAGGAGACCCAAACTGGTATGAATTTAGAGCCGAGAGAAGACTGTGTGCTTGGGCAGGCGGACGAGAGAGGGAAAGCTTTTCGCTGCTTACATGCTCCTGCTTTTGTATTAGTCTCGAGGAGCTCCTTCCAAGTCTAGCTGAGAGTCCATCTATTCCAGCCAAACCAAAAAAATTACTCCACTTAACACAACACTGAACATAAACCCACCTAAAAAAAGACCCAAAGCAAACCAAATCAAGCCCCAATCCTAACATACCATTTAATAAGGAAACCCAACTTAACCAGACGAACTGACCCTACCCCCCCAAAAAAAAACAAAAAAAAACAGGCACTTCCCCAATGTAACATAACATAATGAAATCGACCCGAACCCATCCCATCCAAACCCCTCCGAACCCTGGCCACCCTAACCTATGAAGATAACGCTAAACCTAACTTAGGAGGAATGTTAAGGAGAGAAAAAGATAACGAACCCCTAGCCTTATCTAACTCGAAAGCCTATTCTGGCCTACCTTAAAGGGGCGTTAGGCTACTTTAAGGGTACAGATAATACACGCACCTTTGATCACGTGTTGCCATTTGTTCGATAGTCAAGTGTCTCAGAACAGTCAATACCACGGTGAAAATGGAATGCATATACAATGGGAACTGACCGAAATAATGTGGTATATTTATTAATAATAAATCATTATAAAACTAACGAGATAGATAGATAGATAGAGAG